AATAAATTCACTCGTGATTGATTGTACCTTTCGGTTCGTCGATGGCTGCGCAATCACGTCTCTGTAATAATCATCAGGCTTCATCGACTGCAAGTTTTCGTGAAGGATGCTGATCTTCTTCATGTTGTCCCAACCAGCAGGGCTGCAATCGAAAGTACATTTAATTCAAACATTCACAAAACCAGAAACATTGTACAATAAAAATATTCCACAAACAAAACAATTTTCTCCTAATACTAATTGACTTACATGAGGACTGCGTCTTTCTCGACGACCAACGCAGGCGTTCTGAAGGGCAACGAGTAGATCCTATGCGTTAAGTATTTGTAAAGCAAATCACAGTTCTTATCCTCCTTCGCTGACGTATAAAACAGCGCGGCGCCATATTGGAAGCAGAATCGTCTGATCCACTGTTGTATAAAATCGAAATGCTCGTCTCTACCATAAAAATCAGTCTAATAAATTACTTTGTACAGTTTTTGCGTTTTTGTTTTAATGTTGTAACACTGAAAACGCTTTGCATTTACTTGTAATCGTGTTCCTTCTCGAGAGTAGACATGTAATCGGTCTTTGTTATAACGACGACGATGTCTAGGCCTAAGTTTGTAGTGACGATGCCTTCCAGTAACGGCAGAGTGTCCATGGTTTCGTCGTCCAGATTACGACTGGTACGTCTTAAAGGGTTACCAGGATCTAATTCGTCCCCAGGCTCTGTGTACTCCTCCCATTTCTGAATATCTGAACGTAAAATTATTTTAAACATTCACAATTATTTTATATATAATTGATGAATAAGGAAAGTTAGAATTTACTTCTCTGCCTGCACTGTTGCCATGTTTCGTTGTCTAAAGACAGTTTGTCGATGTGGTCCGCTAGAAGAGCGGCCCAGGATTGAAGCTGGTCGAGAATAGCCCATGGAGTCGTCATCGCAGCTACTAACATTACCAGAGTGTGCGGGAATCTCTCTGCGTTCAACGCGAATCGCAGCAGATTCGCGTGACCGGGATCACCGTCCAGCACCCATACGGACAATCTCGTCTGATCTGAACGTCAATTAATCGAACTGTTACGAGTTTCAATCGTTTGTAAAATTAGTTGAGGTTTTAGATTTTATTTACCGTCCCTGTAATCGTCCCTCACGTCGATGTACGCGAACTCTAAACCAGAGCCCTTCTTCGGGTCTTCCACTCCTTGCAGTTTGGCGATCAACGTCGTCTTCCCACTTTCATTATCACCTATCGATTAAAGTTTATATAATTCTAATAAAGTTAAGTCATCTCAAAGAAGATTTATATTGAAATCTATATAAT